ATGAGTGTGCGGGACGCATGCGGGCACACGCACTGGGACCTTCGGTGGAGCTCCCTATGGGGTCACGAAACGTGTGAGGGGTGTGCCGACATGGGTGGTGATAATGATGATGACGACAGATGATGATGACGATTACGATGATGGGGATGATGATGATGACGATGACGATGATGGGGATGATGACGATGATGATGAAGATGGGAGGAGGGAGGGGGCAGCGGGAAGGAAGGAAGGAACGCGGGGCGACGTCTCTTCAAAACGAGGACCCAACACCACAGGATGGTTGGGAATTATTCCCCATATCCTAAGGATTGGGGTTCTTGTTATTACTCTGACGCCTCCCACTCCTCCTCCTCCTTCTTCCTCCCGCTCGCGCCTCCCTCCTCCCAATGATAATCACCAGATAAGACAAGACAAGATAAAATACTACAAGATAAGATAAGATAGCACAATATATGATAAGAAGAGATTTCAAGATAATAAAATATAAGTTAAGCTCACACTCGCACTCTCTCATGATCACAAAACGCTGCCAGGGGCATCACTTGGGAGCCCCAAGGGGGAACCACCCTGGCTGATCTCACGAGCCCGTTCGCGCCGATTTTGGTGGGACGTCTCAGCTAGAATTGCCGTTTGGCGCCCCCAACATGTATCTCTTGAGAGCCTCATGGTCGCAAAACGTTGCCAGGGGCATCATTTGGGAGCCCCAAGGGGGGAGCCACCCTGGCTGATCTCACGAGCCCGTTCGCGCCGATTTTGGTGGGACGTCTCAGCTAGAATTGCCGTTTGGCGCCCCCAACATGTATCTCTTGAGAGCCTCATGGTCACAAAACGCTGCCAGGGGCATCATTTGGGAGCCCCCAAGGGGGAGCCACCCTGGCTGATCTCACGAGCCCGTTCGCGCCGATTTTGGTGGGACGCCTCAGCTAGAATTGCCGTTTGGCCTCACCAACATGTATCTCTTGAGAGCCTCATGGTCACAAAACGCTGCCAGGGGCATCATTTGGGAGCCCCAAGGGGGAGCCACCCTGGCTGATATCACGAGCCCGTTCGCGCCGATTTTGGTGGGACGTCTCAGCTAAAATTGCCGTTTGGCCTCCCCAACATGTCTCTCTTGATAGCCTCATGGTCACAAAACGCTGCCAGGGGCATCATTTGGGAGCCCCAAGGGGGAGCCACCCTGGCTGATCTCACGAGCCCGTTCGCGCCGATTTTGGTGGGACGTCTCAGCTAGAATTGCCGTTTGGCGCCCCCAACATGTATCTCTTGAGAGCTTCATGGTCACAAAACGCTGCCAGGGGCATCATTTGGGAGCCCCAAGGGGGAGCCACCCTGGCTGATCTCACGAGCCCGTGACGAGAGAGAGAGAGAGAGAGAGAGAGAGAGAGAGGGCAAGAGAGAGAGAGAGAGAGGAAGCGAGAGAGAGGGAGAGGAGAGAGAAAGAGAGAGAGAGAGAGAGCGGATAGAGAGAGAGAGAGGGGGAGTTGAGAGAGGAGACAGGCGAGAGAAAGAGAGAAGAGAGAAGAGAGAGAGAGAGAGAAGAGAGAAGAGAGAAGAGAGAAGAGAGAGAGAGAGAGAGATAGAGATAAGAGAGAGAGAGAGAGAGGAGAGAGAGAGAGAGAGAAAGTGGAGAGAGAGGGGGGGGGGAGAGAGAGAGAAAGAGAGAGAAAGAGACAGAGAGAGAGAGAGGAAAAGAGAGAGAGAGAGAGAGAGAGAGAGACAGAGAGAGAGAGAGAGAGAGAGAGAGAGAGAGAGAGAGAGAGAAAGAGAGAGAGAGAGAGAGAGAGAGAGAGAGAGATAGAAAGAGAGAGAGAGAGAGAGAGAGCAGAGAGAGAGAGAGAGCAGAGAGAGAGAGCGGGAGAGAGCGAGGGAGAGCGAGAGAGAGCGAGAGAGAGCGAGTGAGAGCGAGAGAGAGAGAGAGAGAGAGAGCGAGAGAGAGCGACAGAGAGCGAGAGAGAGCAAGAGAGAGCGAGAGAGCGAAAGAGAGAGAGAGAGAGAAGAGATAGAGAGAGAGAAGAGAGAGAGAGAAGAGAAGAGAGAGAGCGAGAGAGAGAGAGGGAGAGTGAGAGAGAGAGGAGAGAGCAGAGAGATAATAGAGAGAAGAGAGAGAGGAGAGAGAGAGAGAGAGAGCAGAGATAGAGGCAGAGAGAGAGAGGCACAGAGAGAGAGGCAGAGAGAGAGAGAGGCAGAGAGACAGAGGCAGAGAGAGAGGCAGAGAGAGAGAGAGAGAGGCAGGGAAAGAGAGGCAGAGACAGAGAGAGGGCAGAGAGAGAGAGAGAGAGACAGAGAGAGCAGAGAGAGCAGAGAGAGAGGCAGCTCAGTCACACTTAAATCCAGATTCGTCCTCACCGAGTCCCACCACCAAGGGAGCGCCAGCAAGGAGATGCACATATGGGGATCCCCACGCAGTGAATAATTGCTGCTCGTCGTGCCCATAGACGCTTTGCTGAGCCCCCTGGGGTCCATCTCTGTTCCTGTGAGAGCCTCGCAAGGATCGAAGTCGCTCTTCCGTCTGGCTACTCTAGTTTTTCCCCCGACCTGCTTCGCAGCGCCCAGATGTCTCTGGGGCTGGCGGATGTAAATGACGCGTTCCACCGTTTCAGGCTCCCCGATGGGGCTGGCCAGCTTCTTTGGGTTAGGTGCCGCTACAGCCGGGGGGCTGAACGTCGCGGGCCGCGTTGTTGGTGGGTCCGTCTTGGGGATCGACGACCAGGTCGACATCTGAGGGGCGCCCCCCCCCCCCCCCCCCCCTATGGATTTCTCATGGCCCCTCTACTTCTGCCGGCAAGCGGGGGGGCGGGGCATGGCTGGAGCCCCAGGTCTTCGAGAATCGATATTGCTTCGAGATCGCGGGAGGCCTGGGGCGTTCAGGCTCGTGGAGAGCGAGGGGCTCAAGGAGGGCGGGGCTGTCTTGAAGGGCTCGGGTGTCTGCCATTATATCTGCGCTGACAACCTCGGCGCCCTCTCGCGCGACCCCTCATTCACTTCGCCCATCCTGTCCCACGCGGCAGTCCAATTCGAGGAGATGGGGCTGGTGACTCGCGAGCACGACGCGAGCGTGACCTCGTCGAAGGCCCTGGGGGCTCATCTTGATCTCGAAGGGCTCGGAGTTGCGCTTGCGCCCGCCCGTTCGTGGAAAGCGCGGCGCGGAGTTCTGCGTGCCTCGTCGTGTCGGAAGCTCCCCGGGCGAGCGCGGCAAGTGCTATTGGGTCATCTTACGTTTTGTGATTTGATTATTCGGATTATGATGAGTGTGTTCAGGAGTAGATGTACCTTCATCAATAAGTATTACGCTACGCCTATGCCTTCGTGGAGTACAGCTCGTCAGGAGATGTTGACCGCGTCCTCCCTCTTGTTCTTGATGGATGCCTCCTGGGCCTTGCCCTTGGGCCCTAGCGGCGCGGCGACAGATGCGTCGGGGGGAGGCTTCGGCGCCGCGATCTCGGGGCGGGGTCCCGAGGAGGTCGCGCGAGTGAGAAGGGTCTTGGAGAGAGGTCGCTTTCGGAAGCTCCCTGGAGTTTCGGCTCGGGCGAGGTTCTTCGGGAGCCTGGAGGAGCTGGGGCCCGATGGCGAGTTCGACGATCTCGATCAGCCCTACGACGTTGACAAGAGGTTCCCTGAGGTGCCCCACAAGCTGCTTTCTGAGGCCTGCTGGTGCACCCTTTTGGCTGGCCCCTGGAGGTACTTCGATGATGGCATCTTTCCCTTGGAGGCCAGAGCTTTGCTTTTGGGGTTCCAGGCGGCGGTGAGCGATCGCGAGATCAGGAACGCGCGGGTGCTCTTCTTGGTTGACAACATGGGGGCGCGCCTGGCGTTCGCCCGAGGGCGCGCCTCCGACTTCAGGACCCTTACGTGTATGAGGCGTATGGGAGCTGGGTGTCTGTCCCTGGGGCTGCGCGTCTGCTTCTGCTGGATACCCTCTGAATGGGGCGCGGCAGATGAGCCTTCTCGGCGTTTCTCAGTAGGACATGTGGGCTCACCTGCTGCCCTTCGCTGCGCTGGCGATCCCGGGCCTTCTCCGCGCGCGCCCAAATGCGATGCCGAAGGGCCCGGCCCTGGGCCCGGCCCCTGCCGCGCCGCGGGCGAGGGCTCGGGCAGGGCGCCTGCCCGCGGGGTCGACGATGACTCCGACGGCGCCTGGGGCCTCGAGGAATCTGGTGGCCGACTCGCCGGCGCCGTCGGCAAGCCGCTCGTGCGCGAGCTCGCCGCTTGGCTCCGGGAAGCGAGTTGATGACTCGGATCAAGCATTCCCCGACGGACCAGGACCCCAAGGCCCTCGACGACCTGAGCGACGAGGCGGCGACCGAGAAGCACGAGGAAAGCGACGGGACCTCGGAGACCGCGAAGGTTCGGGCGCGGCCAGCCCGCAGGGCTCGTGCGCCAGCGGCTCCGCAGGTTCGTCAGGCTCGTCGACCAGTCGAGCCCAGCCGTCTCCAGGGGCTCGGTCTTCTGCCGCTGGGGTCCAGCGCAGTCCAGACGCAGACCGAGATCAACTACCACGAGGCAGTGATCTCTTGGCGGGCCCGGGCCCGCGAGTTGGGCGAGCCTCTCGGCGCGGCCGCCGAGGTGGGCGCGTCGGAGGCGCGGCAGCTTCAAGAGTTCTTCGACCGAGGCGAGAACCTGAGCAAGGGCGAGAAGCTGGCGGCCGGGCTCGAACGCATCCTGCCCGATTTCGGGCGGCGCGGCAACTTTTATCTTCCCCGATGCTATCGGGCGCTCACGGGATGGAGGCGCCGTTGTCCGCCGCGATCGCGCCGCCCCCTGGCCTCGAGCATCCGGTCGGCCATCTTCTGGGAGCTCTGCCGTGCCAACAACTGGAGCGCGGCGGTGCGCGCGCTGTTCATGTTAGTGACCTACGTGAGGCCGTCCGAGCCGCCGAAGCTGTTGAAGGGGGATCTACTTGCCCCTGCTCGCGGACTCTCTGCCTCGCGGCTCTGCTTCGCCCTCCGCCAGGAGAGGGCAATCATTCGAGACGTACGCGACAGACGAGAGCATCGACCTCAGCTGCCGCTGGTCGCCTTACCTCCCGACGGTCATGGCAGCCTTGCGGGCCGGCGATCCAAAGTCCAAGGCGCTCGACTTCCGCCGCGGCAACTGCGCTCGCCAGTTCAAGGCCGCCTGCCGAAAGCTTGGGGCGACAGCCGCGCCTTATCAGGCAAGGCACTCAGGCGCCTCAGTAGACGCCGCCATAGTATCGGACCCGGGCGGAGATCAAAAGCAGAGGGAGGTGGAAGGCGGAGAATTCAGTCTTGAGGTACGACAGCAAGGCAAAGATCGTCGAGAGCGTCGACAGGCCGCCCGTCTCCTTGGCGCCACACGTGAGAAGGTGCGAACTCCAGCTCGGGCACCTTTTACATTCCGAAGGCGCATGTACAAATAATGGCCAGTGTGCTTCTGGGACCCCGTGGCGCAATCGCACCCAGCTTATGATCGGCAGTTGCGACTATGTCGGCGTCTCTTCGTGCGACCAGTACATATGGCATGGTCGCGGCGTCTGCCGTTTTTTTGTTGTTTTCAGGAAAACGACACCTTGAGCTCGAGGGTAAACGAATGACACCCCAAGCCCAAACATACCCACCCCGTTTGTCTCAGCTCTTGGCCAACATCCCATGCAGTACCGCGGTGTATAAACGTGCCTACTCCTATTCCATCAATCTCCTAAGCTTGTTTCCTTTGTAGGACGATTTGGGATCCAGCTCGCATGTTATCGAGTCTATTCTCAGGGGTCTCACGTCCGAGAGTGTGCCAGCGCGTGAAGTCGGTGGCCCAGTTGATTAGACACATTGCTGATGATTGGACAAATGCAGGCCTCTCATGCTAGTGCGGAGTATGCTTGCAGACGGGCACGGGTTTAAGGGGCCAAATGACGATGTGAATCCGCTCCCTTGTATTCCATTATATATTTGCTCCAGCTTCCCACTCTCCACTCCCCCCTTGCTCCGTGTCGTGTCGACTTCACGCTTCAAAAGGGGGTCCAGCTCAAATGTTATCGAGTATATACTCACGGGCCTCACATCCGAGAGTGTGCCAGCGCGTGAAGACGGTGGCGGAGCTGATTCGACACATGGCTGATTATTGGAAAAATGCAGGCCTTTTTGAAATCCTTGCCAGAGCGCGCTCCAGGAGACAAGGGGAGGTCCATGGATGGTTTCTGAGGAGGAGAGCGAGGAAGGCTGCATCGTTTTTGACCTTCGAGCCAGCAGCGACAGCGACTGGAGGGCTCCACCACAGGTTTCCCGAACAGGGCTTGCACACTTGGGGCCCTCGAGACACTGGCCCTGCACGGCGCAGGTCGGCCACTCGCGCGCCGATGCCTCGTGGGCCGTGCGCCCCGCGTCGGGTACCCTGCGGCAGCGTGACCCGTGGTCGGTGCGGTGTGGTCCGCTCCCCACGGAAAACTTGGTCGACCGCGCGGACATTCGCATTTCGGATTCCCGCGCACGGTGGCGCGCAGGTGCCCTCGCTTCCCACGTGGCGTGCCGCGCTGGCGGCCCGCGTAAGCCACCGCGCAGGCGTAGGGTCGTTGTGCAATCTCGCGTAAGGCCCGCTTCTTTCGTTGCTCACGTGGTGTGCTTGTATGGTTGGTGGTTTGTTTCGAACAGGCGCAAGTAGTAGCATGGATCAAGGCGCGTGGATCAGGGGCGGGTCGCGTTGCCATCCATGTTTCTGGGGTACCTTCTCCGACTCGCGGGTGGTGCCCTGTGAGTGGTGGAAGCTTCCTGGTAGGTGCCCGAAGGTGCATGGCGGTCAGGTGTCTTGTGTCGTACGAGGAAAAATACCGATATCGCGACCCTTCCCTCGTTTTCACTTTTTGGGCCTCCTGGGGGGACCTCGTCGCCACCGCTGGGTTCGCTTCGAAATCCTAGTCCGAACGCATCCCCGGAGAAGTCTGGGGAGTAGCAGTATTTGTAGCTTTTGGTATCCCCGCCATGGTCGCGGCGCAGGGCCAGGGCTGTCAACGGTTCTATCGGCTCGGCGGCTCGATCGGATCGCCAGGGATGTCCACCCTTCTGTATGTGCGAGCAGCCGGCCGCTTCCGCAGCGGCGGCTTCCCTCCTCCACGGACTGGGTACGATCCGATCGAGGCTGTGCCCGCGGTTTGATCGATTGGTTTTGGGGTGTTGGGCAGCCGTGGGACGCGCTGTTCAAGCAGTGGCGAAGCGTCCTGGCTCGCCTATAGCCCTACCAAACAATGTTCTAAGAACCTATTGTGGTATCCACGAAATGTTCTTAGAACATTTCTGGTTGATATTGTCTTGTTCCCAACCATCCTGTGGTGCTGGGTCCTCGTTTCGAAGAAACGGTCCCCGCGTTCTCCCCTCCTCCTCCTCTGCCCCCTCCTCCCCCCCCTCCCTCCTCCCTCCTCCCACCATCATCATCGTCATCATCCTCCATTTCGGCACACCCCTCACACGTTTCGTGGCCCTATAGGGAGCCCCACCGAAGGCCCCAGTGCTGCCGCCCGCATGCGTCCCGCACACCCAATTCGGCACACCCCTCACACGTTTCGCGGCCCCACAGGGAGCCCCACCGAAGGCCCCGGTGCTGCCGCCCGCATGCGTCACGCACACCCAATTCGGCACACCCCTCACACGTTTCGTGGCCCCATAGGGAGCCCCACCGAAGGCCCCAGTGCTGCCGCCCGCATGCGTCCCGCACACCCAATTCGGCACACCCCTCACACGTTTCGTGGCCCCATAGGGAGCCCCACCGAAGGCCCCAGTGCTGCCGCCCGCATGCGTCCCCACACCCAATTCGGCACACCCCTCACACGTTTCGTGGCCCCATAGGGAGCCCCACCGAAGGCCCCAGTGCTGCCGCCCGCATGCGTCCCGCACACCCATTCGGCACACCCCTCACACGTTTCGTGGCCCCATAGGGAGCCCCACCGAAGGCCCCAGTGCTGCCGCCCGCATGCGTCCCGCACACCCAATTCGGCACACCCCTCACACGTTTCGTGGCCCCATAGGGAGCCCCACCGAAGGCCCCAGTGCTGCCGCCCGCATGCGTCCCGCACACCCAATTCGGCACACCCCTCACACGTTTCGTGGCCCCATAGGGAGCCCCACCGAAGGCCCCAGTGCTGCCGCCCGCATGCGTCCCGCACACCCAATTCGGCACACCCCTCACACGTTTCGTGGCCCCATAGGGAGCCCCACCGAAGGCCCCAGTGCTGCCGCCCGCATGCGTCCCGCACACCCATTTCGGCACACCCCACATGCGCATGCGTCCCGCACACCCATGTCGGCACATCCCTCACAGGTTTCGTGGCCCCATCATCCACCAGAGGCCCCAGTGGCGGCGCTCACATGCGCCACCCACACCCACCCAATTCGGCACACCCCTCACACGTTTCGTGGCCCCATAGGGAGCTCCACCGAAGGCCCCAGCGGCCGCGCTCACATGCGTCCCCGCCACCCATCCCGGCACGCCCCTCACAACAACAGGTTTCGTGGCCCCATAGGGAGCTCCACCGAAGGCCCCAGTGGCACCGCCCGCATGCGTCACCACCCGCACCCAATTCGGCACACCCCTCACACGTTTCGTGGCCCCATAGGGAGCTGCACCGAAGGCCCCAGTGGCGGCGCTCACATGCGTCCCCGCCACACATCCCAGTACACCCCTCACGCGCTTCGTGGCCCCATAGGGAGCTCCACCGAAGGCCCCAGTAGCGGCGCTTACATGCGTCTCCGCCACCCATCCCGGCACCCCCCCCGCAGCAGCATCATGTTTCGGGGACCCATAGGGAGCTCCACTGGAGGCCCCACTGGCGGCCCTCACATGCGTTTCCGCCACCCATGTCGGCACGCCCCGCGCGTGTTTCATGTCCCCATAGGGAGCTTCGCCGAATGCCCCAGTGGCACCCATCTCGGCACACCCCTCACACGTTCCGTAGTCCTATGGGGAGTTCCACTGAAGATGAAACCCTCAGCTGCGTACTGACAACTGCATATGGTTGGGTTCCTCGCCAGGCTAATTTTAACAAATCAGGTTTACGTTCTAAGAACCTTGTTTTTTATTCGAACAATTTTGGGTTCTAAGAGCATTTCGTGGTAGGACTATAGGAATGCCGGGACGGTCGGTCCCTGCTCAAGCTCTGCCCTTCTTCCTCTAGGACAAACGTGATCCCCCAGAGCCGAGCCCTCCACGAACCCTGAGACCTGCGCGCTCACCCCGAGCCTTCTCCTCCTGCTCCCTTGGTCCTCCCTTGCTCCTTCTCCTCCTCGGTCGGTCGGTCGGTGACTAAGGGAAAGAATGTGGATCCCATACGGTGTGTGAGACGAGAGCGGCAGCAGAGAGAAAAAGAGGCGGAGGCAGCGATCGCGGCAGCGTGCAGGCCTCAACAGTGAAACAGCGTCAAATTTCCCCCCTTATTACAAAGCCAAGTCCCAGTCCACTATGAGCCCCTTTGAATGCCCAGTCCTGGTACTGAGAGTCGAGCCCGTACTCGCGGTGAAGGACCACGACACTTAGGTAGGTCAACCACGGCCGGTGGGGAAAATGACGAGCGCCAGGTGCTGGGTCAAATTCGGGCTAGTCGGGGTACTGCCGACACGTCGGCGAAAAATATACCTTCCCCCGATTACTGCAAGAGTTGTGGTGCTGCGCACACCCCTAGCCGCAAAATAGCCCTCGTGGGGTGTAATCTGAGTCGCACCCCACAAGGAGCACAGTTAGAAGCGCCCTTCCCTCTTAGGGTACTGCGAGATTAGGTGCCGCGCACACCACGCTTCTATTGAGTAGGGAGTCTGGTACCCTGCTGAGCGTAGTCACGGCCACTCTGGAACTCAAGAAAGGGGTTAAGAGAAACAAAGAGGGGGGGCGATCTCCTCCCCAAACACCAGAGGGGGGTCCCCAGGAAAGTCAAATTGGAGCTGCACTG